CGCAACTGAAGTGACATCACTTTCGACCGATTCTCCAACTGATCCATACCATCGACGGTCACTAATGGGACACAAAACAAGACATACTAATGAGACAATCGATACCGAAGCGAGACATTCATTACGTGTGATAATTGGGAGTCAGTGTTGGGATCAGCGCTCAAGACATGCGACAAATGAGTGAATGAATGGCACGAATGGTGCGATCGTCTCATTGTTAGCCCTTTTATACCACTATTTCATGTGATTTCACATCCGTTTCATTCAATCATTCATTCATTCAATGCATTCATACAATGCAATCGCTATACAAGACATGGAGTGGTGTTTGGCATACATTTCACTCAACCCAACACTCAATACAAACGGCAATCGCATCGAAATCGCAGTCAAAAGCCATACAAACCATTCGTCCACTCAATGGGCGACCAATCGATCCAATGGTCGGCCGTATTGTTGGCCGCGATTTCACTGTACGTCTCGACACAGACTATACGACCGGCGCTACTGTTGAGTCGCAGTGAATGAGTGGCCAATCGATTGCATTCTCACAAACACTCGACTATACGTTATATACTTTTTTCGCGGCACAGCTTTTGTCGGCAACACTTCACTCAATGCATGTCTCCATTCATTCACTATATGTCTCGCAATACAGTCGACGCCCGTTATTGTGTCAAATGGTTGCCATTAAGTGTACGCTTATTGCGAACGTCTGGCCATTGTTTGGTCATTATTAGTGTAATTATCGGTGCATTTCCATTACTTTGGTCAATTGAGCATGGCACTATTCCCAAGCAATCGGCCATTACTCACCGTTGTGTCCATTATATGGAGGTTTGACTGCAATAATGATTAATAAGTTTATTGAATGAAAGTTGAAACTCATTTTGTGACTCAAAAAATGACTCAAAAATTAGACCAAAAAACTAATTGCAAAACACTTTTTAGAGTTGAGATTACAGTCGACTCCCGATACAACTCATATGCGTTAAATGCATTTACAGTACAGTTTATAATAGGCTTGTGATGACTGGTGTGAATAATAACGCGCATAGAGTGTAGTAATTGAAGCTTTTTTTGCGACGCATTAATTGAAAAATCAGATAATTTTTTGGGAAAAAAAATCTTTTGTTTGATTTTTTTTAATCAAAACTTTTTGGTTCAATACATGACTCATTTGATCCGCGAATAAGACATTG